GGATAATGTCGAATCACTCGTCTATGGAGTAGGCGTGTGACCAATGTACAATGGTTCCGAGGTGTTCTGTATATAGTTCGTTGATTTTAGCTAGGACGCAAACTACGAAATTTTGATTGGTTGTTATAATGTGATCAATTCTCTCGATTTTAATTGGTTGATGTGACTACAACATGAATGTGGGTCAGTTAACAAAGGCACAACTAATTAATAATCTTTAATCTTAAGCCGTTTATAAATCCGATATCGATAATAAATTTCATATTCACTTTAATCATCAACATGTAAGCAACATGTAAATGTAAATATAAAGATTACAAATGGAAAAGGATATTTATTACACTAATAAACTAAACAATGATAATTAATATTTTTTTACAAGACAAAAAAAAATACAATAAGCCCTCTTAAAAATACAATCCTGATCATAACATTTTAAAAATAAGCTAGTATATTTATTTGTAGCTCCTTTCCTAAACTTCCCAGTCATCTTTGTGATGTTCATCGTGCATTTCCGGTTGTTGATTATTCTCTTGTTCTTCATCCACCTCATGTTCTGACTCGCGTTCAGTTTGCTCATCATCCTCCTCTTCTTCATCTTCAATTTCTATTTCCATCCCATGTACATCATCATAATGATCCTCAAAATGTTCCTCTTCGTCCTCATCTTCTGGATAATTTAACTTCATGGTTTTCATCAAAGATTGTAAAGTACCATCCTGTTCACTCATCTGTCTAAATAAGCTTTCAGGGTTCATCATAAGATTAGACGGTGTATCAAATTCAACAATTTCTCCTTGATCTAAGGATAATAATATATTAAGATTATGTCTGTATCGTAATGCATTAATAACTCAAAAAAAAAATACGCACCAAGAACAAGAATTCTATCTGAATTTATAATATTCCTAAATTGATGTGAAATGTTCAGAACTGTAGAATCTTGAAACTCGTCATGAATTATTTCTTGTATTTTTTTTTCCGTTTCCGAGTCAAGATTGGCAGTTACTAGAAATAATAAAATGTTAACTAAAAATATCACAATCTAACTTGTTGAATTTACATAATTGATAAATAATACCTTCATCCAAAACAATTATCTAAAAAAAATAAAAATAAAAATAATTAATGCATTAGATTGGACAGTAAGCCTCCTAAATAAGTTACAAAAAATATAAAATTGTCATACATACTTTAGGTTGTCTTAATAGCGCCCTCGCAAAACAAATCAATTGCCTTTGGCCTCGGGAGAAGTTGCTACCGCCTTCATTAACTGGATCATTTAAGCTTGTTATTGGTCCAATGATTAAAGCTTGTCTGTTTCCCTCTACCTCTATATGAATGAGACGAGCTCGTCTTAATGATTCCCATAAATCATCGTCTTCATATTCTAATCGAATGTCTAAATTTGACCTAATAGTCCCTTCAAAAAGTATGGGTTCTGATTGAAAAAAAAAAAAAAATTAATAATCGTTTTACGTTAAGTATAATAAAATATTATATATCACAAACCTTGAGATATAATAGCCAATCGTGACCTAAGATCTTCTAAACTAATATCAGCAATATCAATTCCATCAATCACAATCCGGCCTTCGTCAGCTTCCACCAACCTTAAGAATGAATTCGCCAAAGTAGATTTGCCAGCTCCTGCTCTATAGTTGGCCAATAAGAATTTTTTTTTTTAATTAAAAAAATAATGCACAAGATTGAGTTAGAAAAAAATGTCAGTAATTAACTTTATAGTAATAAATGCATTTTCACCTTCCAATAATGCCAATTTTTTCTTTATCTCGAACACAGAATGAAATATTTTGGAGTACGGGTTCATTTCTTAGTGTATGGTTAATCGTCAGATGAGACACTTCAATTTTACCATTGGTCGGCCACTGTGTTAAAATAATGTGAAAATTTTTGTATTACAATTCTAAAAAAAAACAAACCAAAAATTATAAACATAATAATAAAATCTTACGGCAGCTGGAGGACGTGCATTTGCAATTGATAAAAGTTCCTGTGGCATATCAATGTATTCCCTAATGCGTTCCACGCTATAATGTACAAAGATGTAGAAAAGGTTTATATCACAGATTATAGTATACTATAATAATAAAAATTTTGTTAATAATACTCACCTATTTAGATTATTTTCCATGGTAGAATAATCTTTGACTAGCATCTATTAATAAAATAAACTTAAATATATTGTTGTTACTTTATAAGAATATATTCTGTGAATTACTTACAAATACAATCTGTACAAATCCAAGAGCATAACTTAGACAAAAACCCGCCAAACCACCACTCATAGGTTCTCCATTAGTTTGTCTCCATAGAATAAAAATACCAGCAAAATACGATGCAATGGCTCCTATACAGCCCAAGCGAACAGACATCCATCGATTAGACATATGAAGAAGGTATGTCGTTCGATTTGATGTATTTAAGCTAGTTATATATATATATATGTTGAATATAAGCATGTAATGTTAATGGGTAATCGATACTTGAAAAATTATGTAATTTACCGATTCGTGAAAGCTTTAATAAATCGATTTTCAGCATTAAATGCACGAATTGTTGCGATACCCCTAATGTCAAAAGAAAAAAAATTCAGAAACTATATACTGTATATATATTTTTTGTTTTAAAAAAATAAAGATTAAGAATGACTTACACTACTGTCTCACCAAACCAAGAGACAACAGGTGAACGAGTTATGGACTGCAGCCGTTTTAACTCCCTTGAAGCATTGATATACTTATTTCCAATGATAATATATGATATGACTGAACAAGGAATAATACGAGTAGTAAGTATATATGACATAAATATATCTAGTCTTATAAAGCATATCACAACTTATTGAACGTATCTTAACCTACCAACAACAATGGAAACAAAGAAAAATTGATATGTGATAGCAGTAACTACAGCCAATACACTTATTACACCAACAGCATTTCCAAGACAACTCGATAAAACTGTCATAAGACTCTGATCTATTATACCCAAATCTTTAGAAAATCTATTCATAATGTTTCCAAGAGGTGCAGTATCAAAAAAGCTCAAAGGTGCTCTTAAAATAGCATTAAGTAATTCCGAAAACAAAATTCTTGAACCCTTAAGAGAAACATAAAGTTGCCAAATCATGCGAGCAATTGTAAAAATAGCAGAACTTAAGGCAATAGCAGCATATATGCCTATATAAAATAAGTGATCTGTTCGGGTGTTATGACCTAATAGTTCAGGTGATGTTGTATTGGGTCTATGACCTTCTGACCATTCTGACCATATATTTAACCAATAAGTCTCACCCACAGTTAAAACTCGAATAGTTATAAACAAAAAAATTAGCATAAGCCAAATAAACAGGCCTCCACTAGACTTAAAGTAAGAAAGATAAACTCTGAGCGGAATCTTTCCTTGAGGTTGCACTAAATAATATGTGGGAAGAATAAGCATAAAAATACAAAAATTTTTATTAATAACAATAAAAAAATAAAAACCTTCTTCTGATGTCCAAACTTTCTTATCAGTGATTAATTTTTCATAAGTTCTAATTAACGAATTCCGGAAATTTTTATCTTGATTTTTTTCTACATCTACATCACTTCCAAGAATTTCATCACTTAAATATCCAGTTTCACGTACTTGTTCAGGAGTACCACTGGCCAAAACCGTTCCATTACCAAGTATTGCAATATAACTAGCAACGTCCAAAAGAGAGCGAACATAGTATGTTGCAATTATCACAGTTCGTCCATCAATAATCGGACTTTTTAGGCAATTATCAATAATTTGATGTGCTTTAATAATGTAAAATGAATTTATGTCAGCAATTTTTAATGCATAATATATAATGAAAATTAAAAGTATGCATAAACAAAGACCTAATAATGGATCCATGATAGACAAAAAATCATCCAAAAGTAAGATTTGCGCGGGACTATATAACGCCCTTGCGAGTGCTATACGAGACTTTTGGTCATCTTTTAAAATTATATCTTTCTCGTCACACTTTAACATATAAAGTTAGTTAGTAATTATAATAATCATCAACACTTTCATCTATGAACAAAGAAAGAACCACACCTTGGTAAAATCTGCCTCATCCATATTTTCGAAATCTTTATGCAAACAACAGGCGTCAACAATATTCCAATAACGTTCTTCGACAAAAGGAGTACCAAATAATATATTATCTCGAATGGTGGTATTTTCTATCCATGCTTGTTGTGGAACATAAGCGACTGAATTCGGGGGAAAATTGATAACACCACGTAATAAAAATGTTTCACGAAGGAGTGAGAGAAAAAGAAGGGTTTTCCCGGAAGATTTCGGGCCATCTTTTTTTAATATTAATAATAATATTATTATTATTGAGTAATTAATTAAATAAAAAAAGTCTGATATGGAAAAACTGAAGTATTCATACATACAAATGATACTTAATTTTCCAAGAGGGAATTCTAAATTCACATTCCTTAATGAGAAATCATTAGGATCTAGAATATTCATATCATAACTCCAAGAAACATCAACACCACTAAAACCAACTATGGTTTTTGTATATGAACTAGTCATTGAAATATCTTTTTGAATATCAATCTCATTTAAAAACCTTTCTACACGTCTTACTGATACTCCAAGTCCTACAAGTTCAACAACCAAATTTGGAAAATTTTGTAATGGCTGTTTTAACGTGTTAAATAGTATGATACTTGTGAAAGCACAAGCGGGCGATAGACTATTTTTAAATATAAATGTAAAAAAAGCAAATGCAAATAATGTAACAATGAATGGAGTAAGGTGAACTAATAAAGTGAGATATGTAGTGCGCCAAAATAAACGCCGAAGTTGACTGAGTTCAATTGTACGAGAGTCTAATGGTATAAAGATAAAATAACCTTAATTTCTTAAACTTAATAGTAAATAAACAATAAAATAGAAAATATATTTACACATTAATCTTTCATGAAAACTATTTTCCCAACCATACATTTTTATTGTACGAACAACATGAAGCAACTAATATTTTGAGAAGGATATGAGTAATACTGTAATATAGACAATGAATACAAAGCAAATATTTTACTCACTTCAAAAATATCACTGACTCTTTCATCTCTTGCCTTTTTAACCCGTTTTTGTAATCGAGAGACGCGTCTTCCGAATCTTTTACTACTCCAAAGGCATAATATCATAATTGATATACCAATAATGCTAGAAACACCCAGCAAATAATATAAACCTATTATTGCTACAATAATTTCTAATGGAATTGTCAAAAGGAATGGAAGATTGGAGAAAAAGCCAGCAATATCACCAACATCAGTTGTTAGAACATTATTGTTTGATCTATTATTATTAGATCTGGATGAAGTTTTTATATGTAATTGTTTTGAATACACCAAAACACTCAACATTTGTTCCACACGAATGCCTAACCATACTACTTGATAGTTTAACTGATTTAAGAAAAGGATTCTAGCAATTTCAGAACATAATATCCCAAATACATAAAGATAAGGTTCTTCAGTATATTCATTGTCTTTATTGTTAGTTATGTATTCTAATAATTTATAGAGAAAGAAAGGTGTAGTGAAGGAAAAAATAGATCGAAATATTGCAATAAAAAGGAAAAGAAGAAGATTGTTGGTGTTAACACGAAGTAACCGCGTTAAAAGACTTGGACTCAATATTCTATTATAAATTAGATTTATGTAATTATAAAATGTTATTAATAAAGAAAAAGTTAATAACTTTTTATAAAGAATCTACTTACTGATCTAATTCATAGTAGCAATGAGCAGCTTGACATCTATATGGCAATTCCCATAAATCATCTTCCGTGAGACTACGTCTGTTACCCATTCTAACCATCGAACTCATCCAACCAAAAGTGAGAAGAGACCATATAGACGCAACGGTATCATGAGATATTACTCTGCGGTTCCTTGCGAACCTCAATTCTGGATACCGTGGTCTCTTTAGGGAACAGGCAAATAATATACCACAAGCACCAAAGTTCCATATTGCAAACACACGTTCATATCCTTCTTTATTTTCTTTATTTATCAACATAGAGCGAAGATTTAAACACGCAATAATAAATAAAAGCGTGTATAAAATCAATAGTTGCCTAATAAATGCATATTGGGTTTGATTTCTTCGCGTCATGAAATGACATGCTAATAATATAACGATATAAATCTGCGCGTATTGAAAGTAATTTGATTGAAAATAAGAAAGTAAAACTACTAATTCAGATATTTAAATAAAAAATATATTTACCCAAGAAGTAAATTGGCCAATTGCACCAACTACCATATATAAGCCATTAGAATGATCTTTTTCCATCTCCCAGCCGAAAAGGAAACCTACAAACCCTAACTGAATGAAGGATATAACTAGCTGGCTGATATCATATTTTGAAACTGGTACATATCCGTGTTCTTGTTCTATTACGTCTCGACCAGTGAATACCAAAGGAGTATAAATACTTGATTGTCCGCGACACGTATGAATAGCTAGATATATTATAGAATAAATGACAGCACATATAGGTAGTGCAGCATTCAGAATGCTAAGCAATAAACCCATACTGTGTAAATTTTTAAGGCCTAACGAGGTAAAAAAGAAGAAAATTATAATTTTTAACGAAACTTACACCTCTCGGGCGCATGGAGTAAGATCTAAACGATCGTTAGTCACCGGACCCTAGCCACACAGTGTTTAAGTTTATATATAAAGCAAAGTCGACTAACTGGTAAGCACGTGTCTTGAAGGGCTAGCTCACCCAATCGCTTGAATTACAAAGGCCCGTCGTGCTTCTCCACATTTGCATTAACTTGAAAATGAAAACGTACTCCGCATAATAAAATTAAGCTATATATATTGCACAGAGTCGGAGTCAACCGGAAATATTTTTATCGTGATTATGATCGATTATGATCTTTTAAGATCTATCTACTATTACAGGGGGTACTTGTTAAATACGTGTTTTTTGTTGTTTCAAACTTTATACGAAAATATATAAACAATAAAGACAGGATTAATTTCGAATTAGACAAATCTGTAGGAATCTCAAACATCGAACTTGATCAGAAATATCTTTGCTAAAGTCTGTGATCAATATAATAACTTAAATGTCACCTACAAAACTTTGAGCAGATATTTCGGTAAGGATCTAACCGATTTTGATGTTTAAGAACTTTTTAGAATCCTAAAGATTCTTAGAATTTAAAAATGTTCTTGAACGTTAAAATTAACCAAGTTCTTTTCTGAGATAACTTTGCTCAAAGTCTGCAATTATTTTAGCGATTGGAATATAGATGTGTTTATAGATGTACGCCACTTCATCTTATCGTTTTACATACCGATACAGTATATGCGGTATAAAAACGGAAGGTATTACAATGCAGGATATTGTTCAATGTGAATGAATGTAAATTTAAAATGTATACGTATCAGGGACACGGAAAATTTTCGAAATTAAACAAAAAATTTTTTTAGTCATATTAAAAATTTGATCGAAATTTTTCGAATTACTGGTGGTAAAATAGATTAAATAGATTAAATAAGATAAAGTATTAAGGGCTGAAACAATGACTTGATTGGACATTTTACTATGCGGTTTGATTGGGTATCGTCAATAAGCTTGAAACCGGTTCCCAAAAAAAAAACAAAAACTGGCCAAAGCCCTAGTTTTTTTGAAGGTAGATTTTTTATTAAAAATAGCCTAAAATGGTCGAAAATACGAAATATTTTTTTTACTTTAATTCGAATAATGCTGTAATGTAGATGTATTATGTCACGTGCCAGAATAAGGTAATGGTAACAATAAACGGGCGGTTTTTTTTAAACTCAATTAATTGATTGATGGCGCAGCCTCAATGAGAATTAATTCAATTAATTGCAATTTTTACGTATTTAGCTTATAATTAGTTATATGCATCATCAGCGCTCTACGTGAGTATAGTGAAAGAAAATTGATTAATTGCGTCACTAATTGGGTTTCATGATAATTTTAATTGATTTAATTGATGACGTATAAAAAAATTAATGCAATTAATTTTTCGGTAGGCCTGACGATTACGTATACACTTTAAAGCAGGGCTGAACATTTTCCCGGCCATTCAAAAATGTCGTTCTTGATCCAAAATTATTTGCATTTTTTTATAATATACCTAAAAAGACACTCGAAACAATGGTTGCCTGCTTAAAGAAAGGCGTAAATCATTACGATTCTCCCTAATCATCCATTTATGTAATATAGATAATACCGATTTTATTGGCAAGTGCATGACGTGCGTCTGCATGGTACAAAATTGAATATCTTGTTAAACGTTAATCAACGTTAAACTCAATTCAAATATCGATATTTTTAAAAAATTCTAATCGATTACTTTAAAAAAAAAATTTAAAAATGCCAGTACCCATCATCGGCCGTCTAAACTTTCGTGATTACCAGGCATTAGTAATCGGCCTCATTCTTCTATTCCTCGAAGCTCTACTTCGAGTTATCACACATTGCCTCCCAGCATTTGCGCTAGAGTTTTTCAGAGGACAAAGTCAAAAGTATGTTCAGAGAAATATATGTAGAAATATATATGCAATCTATTTATGGCCTTGTTTTTTTTTGTTTTTATTTGATATCAATAAGTTTATTCTCGATGCGATATAAGGAAACGCGAACACGTCCAGCAAAAAATATACAAAATGCCAAAACTTTTCGAGAAATGGCTGAATATTGGTGAATTACTATTGTTATCACTACTAATATAATTGTTATTATTATTTAGATTAACTCTCATTCAAATTCTTATATTTATTTTAAAGGGGATATACTGTAGAAGAGCACATTGTTAGAACACAAGATCATTGTATCCTCGGAATTCATCGCCTTCCCGAGGGAAAATATTCAGCTAACGATGCTGATTCAAAATCCCGCATAGAATCTATATTTGATAGATGTGGAATCTCTCATTCTGCCATTCGAAATGAACAAGCGTGCTCTTCAAAAGGAATAAAGCCAGTAGTTTTATTATACCACGGACTTATGATGTGTAGCGAAATTTGGATGTGCAATTTAGATGAAGAGAGAAGATTAGCTTGCTTGTTAACAGATGCTGGGCATGTTTAATTATACGTGTCGTGTTAATCGTCATGACTTTTCTTTTGGCTTCGTAATTTATTTTAGACATATTGTAAAATAGATACGATGTCTGGTTAGGTAACGCTCGAGGAAATAAATATTCTATGAAACATTCTAAATTAAAGCCAAACTCAAGAAAATTCTGGGACTACTCTATGGATGAATTTGCCCTTTATGATTTACCGGATACCATTGATGTATCTATTTTTCATTCACCTCGTAATTACAAATTTATCATTTTTTCACATTTAAATCAATATAAATTAACTGGTTATCTACAACTTGAATGAATCTTAATTTAGTACATACTTGAGACAACCGGTGCACCCTCTCTTACATATATTGGATTTTCACAAGGAGCTGCACAAGCTTTTGCGGCTCTTTCAATCAATCCAAAACTAAACAAAAAAGTTAACCTTTTTGTTGCTTTGGCTCCAGCTACTAGCCCTAAAGGTCAATATACACTTTATTATTCACTATTTGTGAATACTATAATAATCTGATCTATTATTTTTACTCAGGTTTACAAAATCCAATTGTTGACGCTTTCATCAAGGCTTCACCTAATATTGTATATCTCTTTTTTGGGCGCAAGGCTTTTCTAACTATGACAATGTTTTGGCAAAGAGTTCTTTCACCTCCAATTTTCACAAAATTACTTGATACATGTATGAACTTCCTCTTTGGTTGGTCTGGAAAGAATATGACTGAAGAACAAAAAGCCGCATCATATTACCATTTATATAATTTTACAAGTGTTAAAAGCTTAGTGGTATGTACCTTGTAATTTTATATTCATATTATCTAATTATTAGTTATTTTGACTTTATAAATTTCCATAGCATTGGTTTCAAATAATTCGCGCCAACAGCTTCCAAATGTATGATGAATTACCGCCATATTCATCACCTACTGCCATAGGTCACTATTGTCATAGATTTCCCACAGAGCAGATTCAAACGCCTATTAGTGTATTTTACGGAGGAAGTGACAGTTTGGTGAAGATTGAAGTTCTTCTTAAACAACTACCTAAGCCAGTGTTTATTAAGGAGGTGCCACCTTATGAGCATTTAGGTGAGTAAGCAACTTTTAAATATTCATTATGATGTAACCTAATTTTGGTATTATAATTCTTGTTTTAGATTTCATATGGGGATACGATGTACATACGCACGTTTTTCCAGAATTATTTAACCTCTTGCGCAAGTATAATACGTGTGATGATGAGACAGATATGAAATTATCCGATCATGAATATTAACATAATTAAATATTCGACACGTTTCATGTTATTTCTATAACGACAAAGTTTATCTTTTTGGGAGTCGAACTTGACTATGTGAAGTTTTAAAAAAGCAAATTACACAACCGATTTTGTATATCAAGCCTTAGAAATTAATAATATATGTTTATATACAGTATATACAATATATTACTAAAATTATTTATAGTAGATTATATCGTACTTGAACTTTCGGACCACTCACTATTACTTACTAGATGGCTTAAATGAAAAAATAAAATTTACTACTGTACTATCTGGAGGATGACTTAAATATTAAATTAAGAGTTGTAAGAATTGTCAGTTCGCAATGTATAATCTGCGCCTTATTTTCGAGTAATAAATTGTCAGATTAAAATAAAATCGGATTAAAATGAAAAAGGGTTTTTATTTAACCCATCTAAAACCCACTTATACATGTTTATTTCTAACTCTAAAAATGCACCTCAAAAATTTTATTTTTTCGATGGCTTGTCTATATTTTACATTGTACAATATTTAATCCGTCACATGTAATAATGAAATTATAAATATTTAAAATGATGATAATTGATGTTTTGGATGGTGTGTTTTAGATGTATTATATCTAGTTAAAGTTCATTCATAGAAAAACCCATATCAGCTATATACAAAATACTGTATATAAAAAAATTAAACATAGAAAATATACCAATTCCAGTACTAGTTTCTACACTAGTTTATCAAATATTTAAAAAAATTAGTCTTTGTATATATAAGTAAAATACTCAAAATAAATGGTTTAAATTTCAAAAACTATATACTGTATCGCACCTGTGGTGTTCAACACCACAATAATGAATTGCAGTATAAATTAAAATAATTTCTATCTAAATTTTGATTAAGATTAGGGTTAGATAGGATAGGGCAAAAGTTTAATTTATACCAAAATTTTGCAAGGAATTTTTTTTGCTAATGGATTGGATTTACCTGTACTATATTTAGTACTTTGTACTAGATTTTACACACCTTAAAGTCTAGTTATTTATTAATTTTAAATAATAATAATATTTTTAAAAAATTTTTATAAGTTTTTTAAATAGTTGCAAAACCTGTATTTAAAAGCTTATAGGTTAAATTTTTTAATAATCTTTTGTATTTTGTAAAATATTGTAAAAATTTACTTAGTAAATTTTATATATAAAAAATTAGTAAAATTTCAACTATATACTGTATAAAAGTTTAATGAATTACTTTAATTTTAATAAATTTTTTTTAAACCAACTATTCTTTTTTTTATAATTTTTATTAAACAAATCGCGAAACATGTAATTGAACTAGAATATGTCAAATAAGGGAAGCGTTTACGTACTGTTTCAATAATTATACCTTTTTCCTCCGGAAATTTGGAAATCTTGATAATACAGTCTCGTGAGATATAATTATTGCTATCTTCGATTTTGGAGGATCTAGAAGTTTAGAGTTTATCCAAGGATCTAGTCCAATTTATTCTTATATCTTTTATAAAACCTAAAACGACAAAATGCTTGGTAATTCTAATTTGGCTTTCCATTCCAAATATTGGAATTTAATGTTTTATTGGTATTTGTTTGTGTATTCATGTTTCCGTTTTATATAACATCGAAATTCACATGCAAAAGTAACAATTGTATATCCATCAGGGCCAGTTTTATTTATACTGCAAAAAATAGTGCGATGTCCTTTTTATTTGGCATTTACTCAGATCTAAGAAAAACTCGAATTTGCATCGACCACGAATAGATTAAATATATTGATCATTATGTAATTTCACTAATACAATATTTTATACATGGATTAGCGAAAAAATCTTTATTAATAGAAAAGAGAAGAAAAAAACAAAAAAAGAAAAAATATAATATTTACAATCGGACGAAAGATCAGAACATGAAGGTATCGTCAATTAAATAAAATAAATACATATAAAGTAAAAATACATACGAAATAAGAAAAAAAATTTACAGAAAAAAAAAGAGAATTAATTTATAATCTAATTTAAATTTTTTACATCTATCTTCTAATAGTCTACATCTATTTTCAAAGGCACGAAGTTTTTGACTTAATCGACCAGCGATTAAGCCCTTAATATATTGGCACATATTTCTATAAGTAGTGACGATAATATCATGCTCCGAATTTTCAGCCGAGTTATATGCTTCGTTCGAAATTTTTTCATCTTCAACACCAACAACAACACCAAAATCAAATTCCCCATCGTATACAACCGATCTAAATTCATCAACTTCTTTACGAGCTAAAATAAATTATTTAATTATTATACTAATAATTTTGCATTTTAATTAATAATAAAACATATATATTTGCAAACCAAGCTTTGCATTGGATCACTCCCACATATCCACAAATTTCAATTATTATATCTCGACCTTTGTCGTTTGGTCCTCTAAATTGATAATTAAAATGAGTATATGTTTCATAGTCACATATAGCTGGCGCCAGCATGTATCTTATTCATCATTAATTCATCATTAACCTCCGCGCCAAAAGGCCCACGAAGACACATATAACTGAGAAGAACGTTCAATGTCAAAACATTGGCCACGATGTGCTTTCGATTCTTCAGATAATTTACATATGTGTGACAGCGTAACTTAGGATACATAGTGTCTCTACAAGACTCTGTAAGAAAAACTTACCCCGTATGTGTGATTCTAATTCCTACTCTTTCGAAGTATCTTTCCAATATCTCTATACAAAATAGTTCGAACTTAACTCCCATTTCCTGCGACGTCTCTCCCTCTAAGCGGTGAAATTCTGGTATCTCGAATTCTTGAATATCAAGTATAATAAACATTTTTTAATTAGAAAAAAAATATTTGCGTGTATACATCTGAAAAAAAAAACTTATATACCTTTCCTAGTTGTGGACAATGCAGTCTTCAAAAAGAACACTGCGAAGGACGTTCCCGTATAAAAAAAAGTACTTGCCCGAAGATCGGCTAAAAGAAAGCTAGCTTTCCATATTTTTGAAACATCTGAGCTTCGTTGAACAATCCCTGGAGACTTTTAACAAGTGCGTCCGTTGCTTTACTATAAATTAGTTCATGATATTATCTTTCGCTGGGAATATTTCACGATCGATTTGACAAAAAAACGTGATCTGAGCTCGTTGAATATCTTATACCGGCTTTCGTATGGTAACGACTCAAAAAAAAAAAAATTATGTCGAAAAACCATTTTTAGAATGTGTCGGAAAGCGCTATATCTTTTTGGTTGTATATAAAAGAATTTTTATCAGATAGATGAATAGTACGGGGTGTACGATATAACCTGATCTGCTATATGTTTTCTAGTTCCCTGGCGAATCACGAATTAATGTAAATAAATTCGCGGATCAGTATGGTATATCAGATAAGTATGGTTGGTATAGTGTGGTATACATTATGTATAGTAGATATACAATATGTATCGTTTTTTAAGTTTAAATTATACGGTATGTAGTATTTTTTTAGAATTTATTTACATGATGTATAGTTTTAATACATAGTTTTATACATTAAGTATAATTAAAATTTATTTTTATACTATTTAGTAATTATAAGCAAATTCGTCTAGCAATCATAAAACTTTGAACCTAATTTTTTGTACTAATTTAATTTTGTATTGACACTTCTAATCAGAGATCTGTCATTCACTATCGTATCGATTATGTGATTATTCAGAATCGATCAGATCGCGGCTCAAATTAATTTAATTTATCAATATATTACAGTATTATAATATAACTAGCCGTCGTCACGTCAAAAAACAAAAATAAAAAAGATAGCTACCGAATTGTCCATCTATCTCTTAAACACTAAATAAAGTTGATCACTTTTTTTTTCAATTACCATTACTAAAAATCAAATCAAGTGATTAATTAAATAACTTAAATTTTGTATACGAATTATGGTTCATGCATAACATTTACCTTATATTATCTAAATAAAAATTGAAACTTGAGATTTAATTGTTGCTTTTTAAAATAAAGTAATCGATCTAATTGTGAAATTAATCAAGTAAATAAATTCGAGAAGCTATATCTCCAACAATCCAATCCGTTCCTCGAAGTAAATTTTCACCAGTGACTGCACTACAACTCTGAATTGCCCAATGATGAGTTACAATTGAATTAAGGTCAAGCCCCTAAATCAAATTTTTTTTGAACAAAAATTTATAAAACATTATATGCCTTAAATAAAACCGGATCATCAAGTACCTGACGAATCTGTACGTCGGTCAATGCACCAGGGAGGTCTTGCTTATTAGCAAAAACTAATAACGAAGCACCAGCCAAGCGCTAAGTTTGAAATGTCAAATTAATATTGTACCCTTATTTTAATACAACGACAATAAAGATATGAAATTTACCTCTTCTAATAATAACGCTTGCAATTCCTTCTTACAATCATCTAATCGCATCCTATCAGCACTATCTACAACCCATATTACGCCATCAGTTTTTTCAAAATAATTTCTCCAATAAGTTCTTATAGACTTTTGACCGCCAACATCGAAAACGTGTAACTTAAACCTTCATGAATTATATTAGTCATTAATTACGTAGTTTTTCTTAACCGCAAAAATAATGTTCATAAAAAGAAATAAATACCCATTATGTTCCAAAGTTTTTATGTTAAAACCTAAAGTTGGTGAAATCGTGTCAATGGGTTCCCCATTTAAACGTTTTAAAATAGTTGTTTTTCCCGCATTATCTAGTCCACTATAAGAGACGTTTTAATTGAATATAAACGAAACCCTAGACTAAATAAGTGGTAGAAACATAAATTACTTACAGCACAAGTAACCTTATTTCCTTCTCTTTTTGACGAATTTTTCGTAAAATTGATAAAAGTCCCATAATTACTGTAATATCGGTGCCAGTTAGTGTCGCGCCAAATCAATTAACGTAGTGTAAGTTCGTTTTTATTGGCTGATGCGGGATTAATTTTTACAACATACGTATTCATATTACAGTATAC